ATTATTATTATTATTATTATTATTATTATTATTATTATTATTATTATGTAATTATTACTGTTGTTATTAATATTACTATTATTATTATTATTATCCATCCATTATCTTTACCCACTTTTTCTTTTCTGGGTCACGGGGGTCACTGGTGCCCATATCCAGCTATGACCGTGCGAGAGGTGGGGGAGACCCTGGACAGGTCTCCAGTCCATCACAGGGACACAAGGAGACAAACGAGACAAACAACCATTCACTCTCTCACTCACACCTAGAGACTATTTAGAGTTACCAATCAGCCTAACATGCATGTTTTTGGTCTGTGGGAGGAAACCGAGTACCTAGAGAAAACCCACGCATGCACGGAGAGAACATGCAAACTCCACCCAGAAAGGCCCCCAGACTGGAATTTGATCTCGCAACCTTCTTGCTGAGAGGCGGCGACTCTACCAAATGCAATGCCGTGCTGACCTTCTATTATTATTATTATTATTTGTTAGCTCAATCATCCAGGTAGATAACAACAAAAACAGTTAAATCATGACATGATTTAACTGTTTTTGTTGTTATCTACCTATAATTGAGCCTAAAAACCTTTTTCTGAACCACTTTGGCCTTGGTTGTCCTCAGGCTGTTTCTGTGAGTAGCAAGTTGGCCACCTGGCCTAAAACATTTGATTGTTGTACCTGATGATTGGTTGTTTTGGACGGACGTGTTCTGCATGTTAAGAGACTACTTCTGAGATTTCAACAGGAGGTTGGCTTGAAACACAGCAGTGAAGGCTATGGGACAGAGCTGGTTGGCAGACTGCACTGAAGTCCTCCGGATGAGGGACAAAATGTTTCTCACTTAAAGAAACTGGTCCAGATGACACAATTTAACCGTTTTTGTTATTATTATTATTATTATTATAGCTGGGATAATAGAAAGTTTACGGATATCCAGATGGAGATTGTACCATAATACATAGTCTTTGACAGACATATAAAAATGAAACGTTAGCTTATCTGCAAATTAAAAACTTTTGCATCACTTGTATACAAATTAAATTAAGCTCCTAGCAGGTAAATAGTAATAATTCTGCTTATTGGTTCCTTCAAATGAAACTATTTTTGGTAATTTTTTTGAAAACGTTTATAGTATTTTATGAACATAATTCATCAAATTGTACAACTTTGATTAGAGAAGCCAAGATGTCAAAGCAGAGGTATTACACAAATTCTCTTTATTGCTTTGCTGTTACTACTGAAAAGCTGCAATAAAATAAAACAAAACTGTGTGTTTTCAGCTACGGTGTAAAATAAACAAGCAGGATCTGGGTTACATACCTCCTTATCCTTGTAGCCCTGCGGCACAGCTATGCTCTGTGGTTGACTACATGCTACAGCAGCCGTGAGAAGCTCTCCCTCAGGAAAGCACATGTTTACTTATTCATTTGCACCTTCCAAATTCCACAGATAGCGTCTGAAAAGCAGCAACGCCAGAAGGAAGGAATCCCTAAACAATAGCAGCATGTTCGTGCATTTATTTTGTATGCATGATTGCATGTCACAGAAAATGTTATTTTTTTTTAAATGGGTAATTCGTGTAAGACCCAATTATTGATAATGCTTGGCTCCATCTATCGATTCGAGAAGAAGATGTAGACCAATAAGCTTCTGTGCTGAGGTGGCTCTCTGTAAGTGCCTGTTCTCCCCCTGGGGTTTACCCGTGTTTATTGTTCCTTGGTGGCACTGCTATTGACAGCATATTACTCACTTTTGAGTGGAAAAACAACCGCATTGGCATTCTAGTTAAACATGTGGAAGTGCTCTGCATAAAAAGTAAAGGCTTCTTGAACGTTCAACCTTTATTTGTGTTTACAATAGCCACGGTGATGGCAATAAACAGTTCTGAGCTCGAGTCGTGCTTTTTAAAGAAACCATAAACTAAGTATTGGCTGTTTACTTGTGCATAGATTGCCTTGGCACGAATATATGTGAGCGTCATGTGCGCGAGCACACCAACAACCACACAAGTGTGTGCTTTGCATGTGTCACTGTTTTGTTGTGACTAATGAGGAGCAGCTGAATTGGCCTGCCTGGTGATTTGTACTAGCTGCTTAATGATGATGAGGCCTGATGGGATGCCAGGTTCATATGTTTGTCTGCAAACATCAACAATCTGTTCCAGACGATCTGCCAGGGCTCCATATCGGGGGGGAAAAAACGACATCAAATGACGCAGTCATGTTGATTACATCATTAAAAAGTATTATCAAAGAGGTTTAGCAGCATTTAATTACCAGACACAACATTGAAAGTAGAAAATTACATGAAGGAAACACTGATCAAGCAGTCAACGCACTGTTTCCAGTGTGCAGGAGTAACAATAATGCCACCATAAGGAGCAGACACAGTGAATTTTGATTAAGACTCTCTGAATTTGACTGCATCTCTCTCTCATGTGTGGCCTTCTCATCCCCCTTCAGTCTTTTCCACTCCTCCTTTTCCATCTTTGACTATGGTCTTCCCTCCCTACCACAACCTGTCCCCTTTGGGCACCAGTGTACACGGAGTCTAATAGGACACTTCTTACCTTGGGAATTAGCCTGTAAGACCCCAATGCTGTCATCAAACTGCATAGACTTGATGTTGAGTGATGCCAAGATGCATTCCTTATCCTGCAGTGAGGCATCTTCGATATTGTTCTGATTGGCTGACAGTATTACGCACATGTCACAGAGGTTGATGTTGACAGCCCTTAAATCTGCCCGACTTAATGGTGTACCCTTCAGGGTGAGTAGAGCACAGAGAATGAGCGAGACAGAGAGAGAGAAAGAAAGAAAAACAGAGAACAGACAGACATGGGAGAGAGTAAAACAAATTTTAGAAGAGAGCAGAGTAGAGCTTTGGGAAATTAGTTAACAAGTATTCTTGTTTTGGGGCAATGACATTCCACTGATCTAACCAGGCATTAGAGATTCATAGGCATGGACTAATATAAAGGCTAGCCTGCGCTGAAGGCTGCATTTGGGATTCTCTTCTGATCATCAGTCAAACCAGGCCTAACAAGCTCCAAGGCACCAAGCCATCTGTGATGGGCACTGCAGCTGCACCACTTATAAACTCTGTTTTGGATCTGCAGGATGTGTCGCTGCTTAAGATGAGGGAGGTTCACTGAGCTCTCATTGAGTGATCGTTCAACTGAGCAATGTGTGATCGAATCAAAATGACAGCACCCCGCTCAAGGTTTGAATATGCGTGCAGCTCAACATATCAAAATTAGCAGAGTTCAGCCTTAAAATGTCTACCTTGCACCAGTGAAATGGAACACTCACGGGTAAGATGGAAACCTTAGGAAAGTTGTGTAAGGTTTCCCACTCTCTCCGAAGGTAGTCCAGCGAGCCCACAAAAACTATAGGCTTTAGCTCATGGTAGTGGAAGTTGCTGGCTCTTAAAGGCATCACCAAGTTTCGCAGCCCCACTAAGGCAGACGTGACATCCCCAAATATACAGACCACTACATGGCCGCTCAGCACAGTCATGGAGGCTTCACTCCGGGTCTGCAGGAAACAGAGGAGGGGGGAGGCAAATGGGAGAAGAGCAGAGAAGAAAATAAGAAAAGTGACATTTCTGCATAAATTATAAAGAGTTTTTAACAGAAGCCTGGAATCATTTTAATTGAGCTTAAAAAAAAAAAATATATATATATATATATATATATATATATTTATTTTTTTTATTTTTTTTTTTTTTTGCAAAGCTGTATTCAGTTGTAAAGTTATTTGCATAAATTAAAGTTTAGCTAATTCTCGTTCAAGCAAACAACTTTATAACAAATACAAGAATAAATTAAGATGATATAGTCTTTTATGGTTCTGGGTTTAAACACAATGAATGACCCAAATAAACAATAAAAATACACAAAAAATGACTGTAATCATTTTATGTGAAAGTGAGACAAAGCTATTTCCTGGCTAAAGTTTTGTCACATGACCTTCAAGTTTTGTTTAAACTAAATGTGGATACATACAGTATACATTAAACAGACTTGACATGAAACTAAAACTTAAACGTTGTTTAACACATTCACAAAGTAGTAGAGATTTAGCTTATTGCTGTTTTAATCTGCCTTCTATTCTTCAGTTTTCTGCCTAAATATTTATATTTGTATAAATATATAAAAAATATATTTCCTTAC